AGATGTTGTTTTCGACATAGCTTTTTTGTAAGGGGGGTGGGGGGGTGGGGGGGTTGTCTAGCAATATGTAACGATGGCATAGGCCTACATGATGAAAACCGGAGCTCATATTCAACATCCCTGTCTTGCTGGTGGGGAGTGGGAACACCACTTTGAACTTAACGTCCGCAAAATGTTTCTGAGACTAGGTTCTAATACTAATAGTATAGAAATGCATCCTGGGAAAGATAGAGATGTTTAATAATATCTCACTAGAAGAAGTCCCGTGGAACCAGCCTTTATATTAACCTGTCATGGAGTTGAGCCTGCGAGGGTTGCTGAGGGTCAGCACTGCAATCCCGGAGCTGTTGTCCATTTCCAGCTCCACTGAGCCTCCTTCAAATGTGGCTAGCTGTGTCCTGATTGGCTGTAAGTTTGGTCTGTTCAAGTAATAGACGCTTCGTGCGAACGTGACATTGCTCTGGGACTTCAATTGTTTCAGAACTGCAGGAGAAAAAATAGTCAAATACTGTACTTTCCTTTTAAGTTGATGCTTCGCGGCACACTCCACAGATAGTTTCAACAAGACGTTTTAATCAAAGTTTATAATTTTGGGTACCCCGAAATAAAACATTATCTATAATGTTTAGCCTCCCGCTTTGCGCGTTGTTAATTCATGCAGCTGGGTGAAATCGCACAAAAGTAAATCTTAGTGATCTACGCATGATGTGCACACTATAATAAGAATGTCTTCCCGTATGATGGCAGTTCAAGACAAGAGTAAAGAGATTAGCACAAAAAATACGATGAAGGTCATTTTAAGCATACAAAAGAAAGACGTAAATACAGAATATTGATTGCAGGTGTCTCACACCCCCATCGACACAATTTAGATCATTAAGGACGCGGGCTGTTTCGACCTTACCTGTCAGTGCCAACCCGGACTGAGAGAGATACAACATTCCAGCAGAAAGACGGAGATGCTTGATAAACTACATTTTCCCACATTCAGGAAGGAGGCTCTAAAGGTTAAGATGTTCGCCTCTCATTCTTCACTTCTCTAAAATTGTCTCCTTTCATCTCTTTTCCTGCTCTCTCGCAATGTTCTGTCGTCTGCTTTCGTCTCCACTTTCTGCCCCGACTCCCTCACCTCCTTTGCCCCCTCCTCTGGGCTCTTGGCTCTTTCGGAAGCCTTTTTACTGCTACTCCTTGGCTCCGTCTTACTGCTGTCTTTCAGCCACACCCCTGATCTTCTGGTAGGAAAGATCTACATCTAGCCTTCTCGGACAAGCGCAAAAGAATCTCGGAGGTTCCGTGTGCAAGTTACGCACGTTAAAGATCCTTTGGTGATCTAAAATCAATAAGAGTAGGCTTCGGCCGCTACCCGGCAAAATAAAATTCAAAATTTCCTACGAACTGAAAATCTTTAATGTGTCCCGCGCGCTCATATGACCTTATACTACAGTTGCGAGCGTCGTAAAACGCTAAAAAAAATAAAACGAAAAAAACCAAACACTACTCGGGAATCACGTCCCCCGCGTGACGCCAGTATACAAACAGGAACAACAGGAAGAAAGACAAGGGAGGGAGGGAGGGAGAAAGAGAGAGAGAGAGAGAGAGAGAGAGAGAGAGAGAGAGAGAGAGAGAGAGAGAGAGAGAGAGAGAGAAAATCGTGTCTCTATCCTATTAGGATGATCGACCAACCTCCATGGAGTACTTTGTTGGTTGCCCTGGTACACATGATGTAGTGATGTCGGCACAGCTGAAGTAGACCGAAAGTCAAAGGGGCAGGACTGGCCTGTCAGTGGGGTGGAATCCTGGAGCAGCACTGGTCCCTGGCTGGAAAGTAGAAGACTAGATCTAGGAAGTTTGCAAGAGAATCGTGATATCTATTTGTGCTGCTGTGAGTACAAAACGGCAATTGTAAATATAAGATGTTACACCCGTATTGACTTAATCTACTCATTAAGGAGGTGGGCTTGCTTCGAATGCGCCAGTCACTACACTGGCAGTGCCAATCCTGGCTGAAAGGGAAACAAAATCCCAGCAGACAGACGGATGTCCTCAATAAAAACCCTCCACACTCGGGACTTGAACTCGAGCCCCCTGAATACGATAGCGAGGAGACGTTGGTATCTTCGTTGTGAACGATCGTAAGCGGAACGTTGATTCGAATGTGTTACTGTTGTTTTTAAACAAGCAAGATAGTACGCTACATTCCAGTTCATGACGACAATAATAACAACAACAGTATATACTGTCCAGCCACTAAATAAGATACAGCTGATGCTGTGTTGGTATGCGAATCGTATCCATGGGTGGTGGAAAATATAACTAGCTAGCTGGGCCCCTTTCTATGAAAGGAATGATCGGCGCATTGACATCAACTGAAAGTCATTAGCCTACTATATGACACTCTACTGGAATGGAGCACTAAATCTTGAGAGATGCAAAAAATTAGAAGATCTAGATATAGAGATGTATAGATTGATTCTCTATTCCACTTTCGTGGTTGTACACTCCAGAATTTCTAAGGTGTGGAATCAGAGTGCCCAAGGCTAGTGAGCGGAAACCTCAATTGTTTACAATAGCGTCTTAGAAGACGGACTTTCCCAAGATTAGATCTAAACGAAACTAATTTTCTTAAAATGAAAATCAAACTACAGTGCTCCTCAATAAAACTGTGCACCCTTTAAATGATTCTGAACCACCATTAATGTTGCCAATTTCTAAAGTTAAGAGGTTCGGAAGTTTTAGGCGGCCAAAGTGACGAACTTTCACAAATATAATAATATGTATGGCAGATAATCATTAATGGCGCGAGTGAATGGGATCGTTTGTGTCATGAAATATCGGAAAAAGAACCAGGAAAAATCTGTTCCCCGTCGTCTCTTCCCATGTTAGGCCTAGTAAAATGTGTACACGCACTTCTGATTTTTTTCTGTTGTTTTGGAACCTGTAAAAGCCCTTCTTTCTGATGGGCTGTTTTTCTTTCATTTCCTGATGCCAAGTTCTACAATGATTTAGACCTTCGTTGAAATGACGTCTCTCTTGCAGATCTCAGTCAGTCATCAATCGAGCAATCTAGATCTAGGCCTTCATGCCCCTACTGGTTGCACCACGCTTGTCCTGGGTAATATGCCAGGGACAAGTAGATCTAGTAGTTATTACATTTTTATCGCGAAACACAGAGCTGATGAGTGATGAGCATCATACCCGTTAAAATACACTCATCATGTCACTATTTTGAAACACTTATACTTATAGTGACACAAGTAGACACGCATTTGAACTTCGACTTTAAGGAAATTTACAAAGAGTTTGGTAAACGTAAGGAAATTACTCATGGAATTATGTTTTCTCTAGATAAAAGCGTCTTTAATTTTTCTTTAAAGTTTAGTCTAATTGAAAGTTACTGAACAGTAACCATAATGGAGTCTTGAAGATAACATCCACTTTACGACGCAACAAAAGTAAAAGCAGTAAACACAATACTTTTAAACACCATAGACACTTTGCTTTGTAAAGGTGTTGGCTTTCTCCAATTCCGTACTAAATTCGTTTCTTGTTGTTGTTGTTGTTTTTGTTGTTTTTGTTTTTGTTTTTGTTTTGTTTTTCGACATGTGGGGGAAAAAATCTATGCCCTTTTTCACGACCTGTTTTTCTCTTTGGACCAATCAGTGAACAGCATGGTCATGCCAGAGGGCAGACGGCATAGACGAGACAGGCCATGCCTCTCTCTCTCTCTCTCTCTCTCTCTCTGCTCTCTCAATAAGGACGGCAGATGTAAATCCCCATCCCTTCGAAGTGGGACGAATTTTTAAAGGGTATCGTGAGTTTGAGGAAGATTTTCGGAAGTACTGCGGTACAAAGTATGTTTTCAGTAAATAAAATATTTTTAAAATCCTCGAAATCAGTCACCGCCAAGAACAACACGTTCAAAGACGAGTCGAAACACTTCCCGGCAGAGTGGCAGTACTTCAAGTGCATCCTGTTCTTGATTTGGAAACATTAATTTATGGAAGCTACGACAGCACGAGCAGAGACACATCAGAGACACTGCATTAAGTCTTGATTTTAGGGGGGGGGGGGTGGTATATTTTATTTGTAACATCAATATAGAGGGTTGAAATCATAGGCCTATAAAGATCGACATTTTCATTCTAGGTTAGATCTTGAGTCTTCCTTACTTAGTTAGATCTAGGTCTACCCCTGTCCTTACCAGAATTTAATCCCCAGAGCTCTCTCTGCTAAAGTGGCGAACGATTGCTGGCGATCGCTAGACCTAGGATATAGGCCTACTCAAGCCTACTGTGACATACATCTAGATCTATCTGCGCATTTTTCTTGTACTTGTAAAAAAAAGCTCTTTTTCAAGAGACGTGAAAGTAGAGCTCAGAACGACGTAACATACACAACATGGAATGGGCCGTTCTATTCCGTTTGTCTTTGCATTCCTAACAAAGGCTTCGCAAATCCGGGAACATCAATCCTGACGGTACGATCACCAAGCCTGTTCTAATTTTCCACCATTGTTTACGAGTTCGATTGTCCAATGCCAAAACCAGAGCACAATTTCACTTTTTAAAACAAATCTTTATAATTTTGGTAGCCGTTATTTTCACGACCGAGCCGCGCGGAGGGACAATGGTCGAGTGCGCCTAAATAGGCCTACAGCTTATTACTGCGAGGTTTAAGTTCTAGATCTAGATCTACCGTTCGAGAAGCTAGACTAGAAAGGCAAGTGCTCTCTCTCTCTCTCTCTCTCTCTCTCTCTCTCTCTCTCTCTCTCTCTCTTTCCCTCTCTCTCTTCCCCCCTCTCTCTCTTCAAAGTTTAAATAAAAACCTCTTTGACGACCTGCAATCTGGTCATCAAAATGCTTAAAGACATGCGGTTTTGGGGCGCTTTAAAAAAGAAACATTTCCTTAAATTTATATACTTTTCAATTTGTGTTAAAATTACCATTAACAAAAGGTACAAAATGAAATGTAAATCATGTTTCTAATTTGAGTAAGACGAGTCGAAATGTGTCACAGCGTTGCCTTTGGCGAACTGCTGATCGGACGTATTTGTTCGCTACATCTTAAAAGAATTAAAACACACGTTGTGGCATACATGATGATGCGGCAAGTAGCCTGAATTTTGGGATGTAGGCCTAGGCTACGGGTTTCGCAAGGCAAGGTTGGAAGCACTCGCGGCACCCTTCGCAAATCCGGTAGTTTTGACGCCTTAATCGGAATGATGATCGAACCAGTAGAACTAAAACAGGCCCAAAATCGGAAACTAGATCTAGATCTAGATCTGCCGAAAAAGGTGTATTTTAGGTAATAGGCCTAGATCTAGGCCTAGACCTCTGTGGTAAGAGCCGGTATGTCTTCGACATGTCGTGAAAACACGCACAGCCTTTTCTTTTACCACGACATGTCGTGGAAATACCTGCTGCCCTTTTTTGTTTTGTTTTTTAATTCATTTTTTAAAGGGGGAGGGGTGTATTTTGTGAGTTGGGTTTTTTGTTTGTTTTGTTTTGTTTGTTTGTGGTTTGGGGTTGTTGTTGTTGTTGTTGTTGTTGTTGTTGTTGTTGTTGTTGTTTTGTTTGTTTAACAGAAAAAGCCCAAAAATACACAAGCGCTTGGGTTGTTTGCCATGGGTAGGAAACATAGCACTCAAACCTCGTTCTCTTATTTAATAAAAACCCTCCACACTCGGGACTTGAACTCGA